GGGGCGGCCGCCGCTCCGGCTCCCGAGGTGCGGGCCGAGCTCGGCTCCCGCCCGGCGCCGCGGGCTCCCCGCTCCCGTGAGGAGCCGCAGGGATGCTGCCGCCCCACCCCCGGCGGAGCCCCGGCCCCGCCGTGTCGCCGACCGCCGCGTCGCCGACCGCCGGGCTCCCGCCCTGCGGCCCCTCTCCTTACCCTGGCTGACAGCGGCGACGCCGGTCCCCACCCCGCGCCGCGGCGACCGACACGGGGGCAGCCGCAACCGCTCTTTTGTGTGCCTGCCTCGGCGCCACACACCGAGACGGCTGCTGGGCCCGGGAAGCTGCGTGCGAGAATACAGCCGGCCGCCCGGGAACCTGCATGGCGCATAGCGCGACCGCCGCGGCGCCTCAGGGAGATGGGGAGGCCCCCGCCTCGCGCCCGCCTCGCTCGCGCCTCGCGCCTCGCGCCCGCCTCGCCTCAGCCCGCCCGCCTCGTCCCGCCGAGCGGCCGTCCTCGCGCCCCGGAGCGCGGGCGTCGCTCCCCGCTCACAGGGTGCTGCTCCCGGCGAGGCTGTGAGGAGGTCTGGAAGACCCCCTCGCGCTGCCCTGCGGGCGGCCAGCGGGCTGCGGCGCGCCCCTGAGCCTCACGAAATGGCACGGAAAGCGGGCGGGGTGGTGATGGGGGCTAACCTGCCGGGCACCGGGACGCTGAGCGGAGCCGTCCGCTGGGGCTGCCTGCCCCTCATGGTGCCCCCTCGGGCACCATTAGTGCCGGACGCCTCCGGGTTGGCGACCACACGTACCCGGTTTGCACACCCAAGAACGCAGCTCTGGTGTGGGCCATCGCATGTGTTATTTCGTCAGTCTTCCATCCCATTCTGCTGTGAAGTGCACTCCTGAAAGCCATCCTGCTGTTAAAGGCCTCGGGTTGAGGCCATTCGTGACCTGTTACATGAGGTGCTCCAGTGCAACAAAACCAAATAAAAAGTCAGAAGTCTGAATGCTGCAGTGAGGGTTAGCACTTGGCCTCTAACATTCACATTCCACCCTAGGGGCAGCAGACTTGGAGACTGAATCACAATATTTATCCTCTTGTGCTGGTAATACATAAAACCTCCTATATAACAACTAAAAAAAGGAAGGGAGCATATAAACAGGAGGGGTTACAGCTGTTTACAAGGGTGGAACAGTGATAGGACAAGGGGGAATGGTTTTAAACTGAGACAGGGGAGGTTTAGGTCAGATATTAGAAGGAAGTTTTTCACCCAGAGGGTGGTGAGGCACTGGAACAGGTTGCCCAAGGAGGCTGTGGATGCCCCATCCCTGCAGGCATTCGAGGCCAGGCTGGATCTGGCTCTGGGCAGCCTGGGCTGCTGGTTGGCGACCCTGCACATAGCAGGGGGTTTGAAACTAGGTGATCACTGTCCTTTTCAACCCAGGTAATTCTGTGATTCTATGACTCTCCAAGAATGGCATTTCGTATGGTGAGTGACAAACCCAGTTGGTTTCTTAGGCATTTTATCAGAAACAATGAGATCTTCCCAGAGCAGCCAGGTGATGGTGTTTACTTGCTATATAAGAAGAATATGTGAGATCAAGTGCTGCTAGCCAATTATGACAGGACTTGCTCATTAGTATGCAGATTTCAGACTGGAAGCTATTGACTGTAAAAAGTAATCTTTGTCATGACAGCAAAAGTGAAAAGCCGCCTTAATGTAATTATACTGCATTCCGGTCAGCTCGGTCTCGATGTTCACTCTGCATCCCATCCAGCTTGGTACGCTTTGTTTGCCCGGGGTAGCTGTACCAGTTGCTTAGCACCAACTCAGATTCCATCTACATGCAAAGGCCTTTCATGGAAACCCAGATAGTGGATTTTTTTTGTTTGTTTAGGTACAATTTCTGTTAAGATTCACACAACAGCCATTTGCTATTAAGCTGCTATTTTTAATCTTTTTTTTTCTTTTTGTCTGTGGTACCTTTTCTCATCTGTTTATATCCTATAGACATCTTTGATTTTGGTTCCCCTTTGAAAATAATGAAATTCAAATATTACATAAACAGTAATGCATATGTGTTTTACATAAAAGTTACGTATGATCCTTAGATGGGTAATGCAGACATCTGAAAGATCATGTTTAAATTAACACTATAAATTCTCAAAATTGTTAACTTAATGAAATAAGCTTCATATACATAATGAACTTTTCACTTTCCCAAACAATACATCAAAAGCAGTACTCCCAGTCAGATAGGGCAGCCAGGTGTTTTCTTCATGAAGCTGCTGCAGTTTCAAGTATTGTGCTACAGCTGGTCCAAAAGGGAATAAGATACATTTTTTTTAAATTCTTAAATTTAAGTTCCTAACAAACAATCTCCCTTCACCTCATTTTAGAGATAGCGACTCAGACAGATGGTTATTATAAATTTAACATACCAAAATGGAAGGCAAAAATAAAGTGCATAATAACAGTCCAATAATATACTTCTTTGCTAAACTTCAATTTCTGAAAATAATCTTTTTCATACAAACCAGCCACTGATGCAGAAGTGAGATTTTCCTTCTCATTTGATGCAAACTGTGTCTAGTCTCTTTTGCCTTCAGAGTGCTCACAGTTACTTGTTACTTTAGAACTTTCTGTTTCCTTTAAATCATTACTTAGACCTATCTTTATTACTGGGAAAAAATGCAATGTAAAAGTGAGTAAATGCAATGTAAAAGTGAGTAAAAAGGTTCATTAAACATTTTATGAGAGATTTTAGTACCTATGTACTATTTTTACGATAACAAAGCGTAACAGTTAAAGATCACTTTATATTATATCTAGAAATGTCACAAAGTGCTTCAACATATATCTACTTAAAATGTTTGGAAGAACTCTTCCTAACTTGTGAGTCTGTGCTGTATATTTAACAGTTAACAGTGCTCTTAAAAAATGTGAAAGACAGTATAAATGAACATGAAACACCAGAGATAGCATAATGTTATAGATACTAAAGGATTATACAAATTTAAGAGGCAAACATTCCTCCTTCACAATAAAATAAATTTACATTTCATAAAACATTCAAACTGCTTTGAAAATGTTTATCAAAGGTGATAGATTTTGTGTTTCCAAGAAGGTGAGATCTTCCATTTTAAAATGTTGGCCAATTCCTTTATAAGTTTGTAAGTTATAAGTAAGTCCTTTATAAGTTGTTAGTTCCCATTTCTATATTAATCTTACATGATTCAATATTCCGTGATTTAACTATCAGTTAACTTACTGTTTCTACTGCAGCTCAGTAACAACATGAGAAGCGCTAGGAATTTGCTTCTGCTTCACAGGCTAATAATTTCACCAAAAAGACAAATACAGTGATAAAACAAATGAGTATTTACTAAAACAATTAACTCTTACCTTTTTCTCCTAACTGTGGGTTCTTGAGTCCAACGAACCCATATCACTAGAGGAAGAATTTCTAATAAGGAGAGAATCAACTGAGCACTTTCTGTTAGTATCTTAACATCCCCACATTCCACTGTTTTCCGGTGAGACTTTCTTGACCACACCAATTTCCATTAATCTGCCACAGCAACACTCCAAATCCAAGGACTGTCCTTAATAATATGCAGCAATACTTTTGCATGTGCATTAAGAAAGATATCCATTCAGGAAGTGGTGAGCAGAAGTTTCTCTTGTCATTCATTCACAGCTTTCCAAATTGTCAGTTTCACAACTGTTTTAAATGCTGCAACTGCAGCTTCAAAACAGAAGAAGTTATTCCAAAACTTATGATAAACTGGGTAAAGATGGTAACAGTGAACACAAATCCAAACTGATATATTATTTTTTATTATTATTCAGGTGGATTAATTGCAGAATAAACATGATAAAACCAGAGGTTTTTTATCCTAGAATAAAATGAACTTATTTTAGATGAAGGTGGAGTATGTGCAGGGATGTAGGAATATAAAAAATCCAGGCTGTGGTTTAGCTAAAAATATTATTTCTGAGGATTGGGAAAATAATGAGAGAAACAGAAAGTATTCAATTTCTACAGTTGATATCAAAACAAACTTAGAAAAGTATCAGGACAAATACTGCTTGCTTAACATGCACAAATAAAGTGAAGTCTGGCCATGAATAAGTCAACAAACTGTGTCTGCAGTCTATGAAAAACTAAGTACGCTGGCATGCTTTCTGATGTGAGGAGACTGTACACAACCAAGACTTATGTTTCTTATGCTTGCCAGTGATTCTGTAAGCACTTTTGCATTAGAAAACAATATTTACAGAGCAAGTGATTTCCCACTATTTGTACAGGTGTCTCTCAGAGATCTTCCTATGGATAAAATCTGAAAACAAATACTCACTACCTGACAAAAACAAGAATGCAAGATGCATCTTAAAGTCTGAAATATATCTCAGTCAAGTAATTTTTCAGACATTTTTCCTCCCGTTGCCTGCATATGCAGAATTGGTAAAAAACAGCATGATGATTTATGCTTGTAACATCCTCACTAGTAATTGTTATGCCAAGGAAAAGGTATTTAACGATTTCAGATAGCCATACAATAACATATGGATTTATTTATTGCATGAACCAATCAGTCGGTATGAAGCATAGCCAGTGAATGGTGAAGACAGAAAGTACGATGTTCCTTTTCCCTTTATTTCTAAAGGGACTATCTCAGCTTTTACTGTTGTCACTGAGAATTGGGTCTCTGCTTTAAAATGTAGAACAAAATAATGTGGGATGACCTAGAAACTGTACAGTTTCTGTGGTTACAGAAGTAAAGCCATGCGGCAAGAACATGAGGCAACAGAACAAAATTACTGTTATAAATGCAACTTGGCTTAGGTACACATCTTGAGAATCACAGTGAATTCAAGAAATGTCAACACATTGATTGTGAAAATCAAATGCGGAACAAAGAAATCTGCAGCACTATCTTATTGCTCAAAAGCTGTACTTAATCCACAGGAACTACAGTGAATTTGTAAAGATTGAATAGCACATCAATATTCTCAGCACCAGCTCAGTAACTTCACAACTCATTTATTGTCTTATTTATGAATATTGCAGCTCAGGCTTGCTCAAGTTCCACAAGGACTCCATGGCAATCTTTAGGGTGAAGAAAAATCACAGGTTTACCATGTGCACCTATTTTTGGCTCTTCACTCAATATTCGAATCTTTTTTTTCTTCAGTTCTGCCATTGCCGCTTTTATGTCATCAACCTTATGAGAGAAAAATACGGTTTACAGAAGTTCATCAGAAAATATCCCCAGACTGTGGCCTGTTCCTTTTTCTCTTTTTTTTTTTAAGTCAAACTTAATTAAAATAATAGCATTTACCATTAAGTTTCAGAGGTTTCCTGCAGTAAAATGTAATTAACAAAAACCAGTCTAAACTATATAATGTGATCTTAAGTTTGATGTCATGACATCAGATTGTTTGAATGTTCCCAAACCTTAAATGTATCCATCCTTCAAAATAATAAAATTAGCACTCAGTTTAGCAAAGACAATAGTCAGTAATCTATAATGGCCTAGAATTAAAATAATTGCATTGGTTTTTTTCCCAATTGAGGTGTCTGGACATAACTCCATGAATAAACATTCATAACACTATTGTATGAAAGATGCCTAGCCTTGACTCAGAGTAACAGACATCTGCTAATTCCTACTCATTTGCTGCAGTTTTGTTCATCAGAATTCAGAACTCCCTACAACTCCTCCTACACACAACTACCAGTCAGCTAGAAGAAAAAAAAAAAAAAAGAAATGACTCAAGTGTTACATAAAGAAAGACAGCAGAAGTGTCAGAAGTAGCCTATAGCCCCCTTCAGGTTGCTTCCCCAAGCGGAAAAGCTCCAGCAGAGATAGCCAGAAGAGAACTGTATCTGGGCTCAGCTGGAATCAATTTCTGTATCCCTAAGGAAGCAGTGAGAGCAAACAGTGAAAAGCCTGTGGTTGCAATCACGTTAAGAGTTTCAGGACTGGATATCCTACCAAACATTCAGCATTCTTTTCATTGCAGTTACTAATTTCAATTGCAGATCATCTGGAATTACTTAATTTCTTATAAAAATGCTTATTTTGTCCAAAGCAAATTCTCTACCAACACATTTATATAAAATTTTCCTTTGAATAAGACAGGAGGAAGAAATGAAAAGCAATTTGATAAACTCATCAGACTTCCACCTTAGTACTGAAAGATATTTTTAAAATTCAGCTTTTTCAATAAGATTTTTCATGGAAAGTTATTTCTATAACATATTCATATGTATTTCAAATACTCAATTGAAATTATTATTTTTTTTGTTTATCTGAAAATTATTTTTGCTTAAATTCAGAAGAGAATATGCCTTGAAATGCTGGGATTTTCCTTCTGAGGGTAATAGAAAATTAGGGAATTAGTGGTTAATTTCTTTTTGATTGTCTATGGTGGTGACCAAATTTGTTTTCAGTTCCAAGCCAACAACTGAACATTTTTTTCCATGTAAACTGATCTATAACCTCCCATTTGGATTTACATGGAGACCGCTAGTATAGGAGACTTTGGACAATCTTTATCTGATTTTATTTTATCTTATTTTATTTTTTGCTTAGAGAATCTAGCAGTGAGTTCTAAGACTTCACTTAGGAGATTCTGCTGTAGATAGTAATACTTCATATGTTCAATCAATCTTATCTGCTCCATTATCACTCCTGGTTTTCTTGGCCTACTATTTACAGCTATGTGTTTTCTTCTTTAATACAACACTTCTGCATTTTTCAACACGAGATAATTAGTGTGTGCCATTCTTCACAGTATTCATAATTAACAGTATGTTTTCCCTTGACAATTGTCTTTGGTTTGTCTTCAACAAGAAAGAGCCTATCTCTACAGAACGGAGAACTAGACAGAACAATTTCAGATGGTAATAAATATTTCTTAAAACTTTATTACATTTACTTGAAACTCTTGGGAGGTTTTTGCTGAAAAGTGCCCACATCTTCTTTCTCTTATAACTTAGCACTGCTGGTCCTACAGAGAGCTTGAGCATTTCTCTGGTCTTACTGCAAATCACTTCTTTCTTCTATACTTCCCATTTCCTAGGTTCACCTTCATGTTTCTAAAACAGAAAGGTCTTTATAGATGAAGTTGGAAAACCGTTTCACTCACATGGGGCATTCCTTTATTTATTTATAACTCTTTGAGTGAAATAATAAAGTTTGCAATACTCAAATATGGAAAGCATTAAAAATAGGCAGCAATGTGGAATTTTGCATCCAACATCTATGCTAAAATATGAATATACTAAATAAGTTGACTACTTATATAGTTGACTACCTTTATACTCTATTGTTTCCAAACTTATCTCTCTGTTGAATAAGAAAAACAGGACAGAAGAAACTCTACAGACTTCACTGATGTTGGGTCATTGTGACCAATGGTCTTTTTTTACTTCTTCATACAATTATCAATGACATGTCAAACAGCAAGAAACTACTGAAAATCTAAACTATGCTTCAACTTGAACTTACAACTGTGTCTTTTACCAGTGTATATCAGGAAGTTCCAATGTGAAGAAGTTACCACCTGTCAAGTACTCCTAACAAGCTCTTGGGCTTGTCTACCTTCCACACTGGATATATATTAACAACACATAATATAATTTTTACAGCATGCAGAAGGAAAAGTTCATGGCATAATTTTAGGAATGGAACTATGGTTTCCAAAACAGAAAAAAATCCACATTTAAGACTTCCATCTCTACAGCAGAAATTTTCACAAATATGACAGCCTTATACAACTTACACAGTTGAAGCCTATGGAAAAAATAAATTCAAACTTTATATATTATATTTACATAATATGTTAAATACCTCAATGCAGATATGATGCATTCCTCCAGTCTTATTCTTTTGCAGAAAGCTTGCAATGGGACTTTTCTCTCCTAAAGGGTGTAGAAGTTCCAGCTTTGTATTTCCCAGCTCCACAAAAACAGTGTAGACACCATGTTCAGGAAGAGCAACAGTCTCACTCACACGTGCTCCTAGCACATCTTTATACAAGGACTGAGCTTTCTCCAGATCAGGTACTGCAATTGCTACATGATTAAGTCGGCCCAATTTCCACAAACAGCTTGGAATGTTTTGAGAAAAAGAATTTGATAATAATAAAGTTCGTACTGTTGGAGCTGAAGTCTGCAGCCTGGTAAGAAGCCCTGAAAAGAAAGTTAATAGCATTAGTATAATGCTTTTGAGAAAGTATCGGTATTGCTCTTTGACCTTGTAAGAGACCTATGTAACTCCTTGTTGTAAGCAAACTACTGTGGAATGCAGACTGTAGACAAAGACCAAGAATTATTCAGTAGAACTCTCAGCTCAAGGGAAATTCTTTTTTCAGAGACTATAATTATTCAGAAGTGTTCTATATGCTTATATATGCTTGTTAAAAATAGGAATATGTGGCCAAATACAGCAGTCAGCTGTATAATGTACTTAAAAGTTGCTTCTGAATTTTTCAGAGCTTTTTATAAAATACAGAAAGAAATAAGGACATACCTATACATGTAGGAATTAAAACAAGCAAACAAGAACAACAACAAAAACCTAGGACAGAATTAACTGATACTGCAAGACCCAAAAGAAAGATAAAAGACTTGAGCTTTTATCTGTTAGAACTAACTCCAGCAAGGAAAGAAATGTCATGTTGTGTTTGAGGCTTGAGGGACGCTATCATCTCCTTGCCTGTGTTTCATTTCCTATTTTCTCTTTCTCCAATTATTATTCTTTAACCGCTCTTACTTTTCTCATGTGTCACACAGGTCTTAGTTTCACTGGCATGTTTCAAGATGTTTAGAAATATTTCTCTTCTAAGTACAATGAATAATACCATGCCCTACTGAAAAGTAATGATTCAGAAGATTAAAACGATATTTGCTTTTTTAATGCAACTAATGCTACCGACTTCAGCATGACTTAAAGAAAAACTACCATTTGTCTCATCATAAATGAAAAGGTAATGAAAAACAAAACATACTGAATGACAATATGACACAAAAGCAAGGGCTAACATCTAGATGTAGATAAAAGATGGAGAAACCCTGAGGAACAAAGTACAATGGAAAACTGCTTAGATGTCTATAAAACTCTTCAGACTGCTCTGACAAGACAGTACTGAACGTTGTACTATGTCTTATTTCTGTTCTGATCAAATAGTTCAAAAGTTGGGGTTTTTTTAATCTGAAAAAAAAAAGAATTAGAACAATTACAAATAAGTATCAGTCTGTTGAATTTGGAGAGATGGGAGGGAAACATTGCTCTTATTGGTTGCATCTAGCACTGCAATTAGAATTAAATGAAAGGATATATTCAGAAAGGCAGCATTTGAATTTCATGCCAGTTTGCTTTAGGCCATGTCAGAGTTCCCAGTGCCTCAAGGCCAAGCTAGAGGCATCTCAGCATTCGTCTTTGATGCATTCTTAGCTGCAAATTCACAGATGTGCCATTTTGCTAAGAGATTGTGCCAAGGATACACTGAGATTCTGAATGCTTTCCAATACACTTAGGATAGACTGGCTTACATTTTTCAGGCTCTTTGTACTCTGGAAAGGTACTAGTCCCTGTACGGTACAGCAGTAGCTGTAATTAATCAACTGGTTTCACAGTAGGAAACAGAAGTACCTTTTTGCTGGAAGACTACAGCTATCAATTCATTTTACTTCACAAACAAGAATGATGCAGTACTGAGACATGTATGTGTGCGCTTATGTATAAGCTTTAACAATATGCAGCTTACATATTTTCAATTCTTACTACCATAAAAGTAAGCATATTCAGAATATTTTGATAGTAAATCAGCATCCTACACTAAGTGCTTCCATAAGCTTGCTCAGCTCTCCAAGTAAGCGCTCTGATGTAATTCTTGCCAGCCTTTCACACAGTACATGCTGTCATCACTTTCATCACAGCCAGAAGTTCTGGAAAATTCTTTCTTGCTTTTGTTTCCTTTAGGTTACAGTAATGATACTATAATAACTCAATATTTCAAAGTATTTTTCAGTTTTTTACATATTAAAACAAAATCTAACAGCAACTTCTATGCAGAAGAAAATTTTTTGTTTCTCAAATATTTATGTGGAAAACTATTCTGTAGATACAGTTGTTATCTAAATGGAACTGTATCTGGAGAGAACAAAGTAATTGCCTGAGGAAGCAGTAGTATGCAATGCTCTGTAACATACAAAACAAAACATGCACCTTCTAGTTGGTATAAACAGAGGAATGGGTAATTAACTAGACTTGAGTTTAACCAGAGTAAATAATGCATTTTAAAAAAAGTCAAATACTCTTTTCAATCTACCTAAGATTAATGGCTGTTTCCTGTCATCACTTTTTAAGGTCTGATTCAATTCCTGGTGAAGCAAGAGAAACTTTCACTTACAGAAAGTCAGTATTTTCCAAAAGAGAAAAAAGATGTGAAATTACCACTTGTTATGCTATTTCTGGTGTTTTCTAAGCAATTTTCTTATTTCATTCCTGTTTCCAAGTATTAATATGCCACGATTGAGTGGAAATACTATTAATGTAGATTTTCAGGCAGTGATGACCAGTAGGAAAACTACAATGCTTCCCAGTCATCTTGATATCTCCCATCTGTAATTCTTACTGTATTTCACACAGGGCATACGATTATATGGCTATTATGATTAAATTTGCTTTTTTTTTTTTTGACAAAAAATTAGAGAGGTAGACCGTTATTTGGCTTTTACTGAAGCAGTAGTAAAGGAAACAAAGAGTGTTATTTCTGTTGGGTTCTACTCAAGAAACATTTGATTTTTGCAGTATTTCCCGGAATGAATGGAGTGAAAAAGTTAAGAATAATCCAAAGATTCTTGTGAAGTCAAAATATATACAAAATACATATTATGCATCAACCCACTTCCTCCTCCTAAGAACTCTATTTTTTTCAGTGAGTATGTATGGACAGAGGACTTTTTTAGAGTTGTGAAGATGTATGACTTTATCCTGGCTCTAGTCATATGCATGTTTTAATTCCATAAGGATCAGTATGAACTGCTGAGAATAAACAAAAAGCATCTGTATTTTTCTGACATTATATAGATTAGTACCCATATAGTTACTAGTTACTTGAAATTCTACTCTTTATTCATCTTCATGCTTTTGGCCTCATTTTCATGCTAAGAAGTAGCACACCCAATAATCAAAGGATGACCCTGCAGTGAAAAAGAAAGCTTTCCAGCAACTTCAGAATGAAACTCCATCACTTTCATGTTTCAGTGAGTTATGCATAAATCACAAAGCTAGTCCTTTGTTCAGAGAGATGTGGTTACATTCTTCAAACAAAAAAGCATTCATCCAATAACATAGAGAATTACTCAAATAAATCTGAACTTCATCCAACGATAAAAAATAAGACTTTGTTTCTTTTGAAACCAATGGAGACTGCTACTGAAGTATCTATCCAAGCATCTGTCCCTCTTTGACAAACTTGCATGTGCAGACCAAATTCACACATGCAGTTTCTTCTCCTACTATATATATCATTTACCCTACTGTTCTTTTTAAATACGTAATTTTTCAGGCACTGATAATCCAATCTGAATTTTTTAAGGCATTTTGTCCTTCAGGGAAGATTCAGCACACCCTGCCCTCCTATATGATTACTGTCTTTAGCTTTGGCATGACTGTGGAATGTATGTTACAATGTTCAGCTTCCTTTGAACAATATTTTTAATCTATCTATTTGGGTTTTATTTTTTTAGTTGTTAAACGTCTGAGTGCTAGTATTATGTGCATCAAGAATTTAAACATGTGCAATTGTCCTGGCATAAAATGGCATTCTGCAGATGTTGATTCATAGGCCTGTTGCCCCTGATGGGGGCAGTGTTTGTTGACTTACACGGTGAGGTAAATAAATACAAGCAAAATCCTGCTGAGTGCAGCAGTGCTCTCTGGAGGGGTTACAGAACTGTGAGCCCCAGTGAGAAGATCCTTCTCACTGGGCATTGCTCTGTGGCTTGGTTTGACATTGGGAAAACCTCCCAAGCGCAAAGACAGTGTTGTCACCATGCGGAGCTGGGCATGGCGGGGTTGTGTACACCGTGTATAAGTTCTCTGGAAATGGAAAATCGGCATCGTTTTGTCTGTTTTAAATCCCAGGAGTTTTGAGGTGCTGTTCACATTCTGGAAACTGCCAGCAAGGGCTGGACCGTCCTTAGCACTGCTCTGTTTGCGCCAGAGGTACTTTTGGGATCAGAAGGGCTCCATAGTTCTGAAGGAGCACCAGGCTGCACCGACCTCATTCACTTTTCTCCTGCAGGCAATGGCAGTAAAGCAGTGCGGTGAGGATGCAGTGAGGTCGACCTGCCATTAGGTTAGGAGAGGGAACGGTTCAAGTAATTGCTACAGTGAATGGGAAAGAGTTTTGCATTTGACCTCTAAATTACATTTTAAAGGCAAGCTTCTCTTTGCTTCTCTATCCTGGTGCTCTAAGTAGGAGGTTTGCTGCGTAGGTTTATGCTGAGACAGGTAACGCCGTATCAGAGCTTTTTAGAACCAATCCCGTAGGTCGCCCAGCAAGCAGCAGGCCCGTAAGGCTACCACAAGAGGCCGCGGCCGGCTCTGCGCGCAGGGCAGGCAGAGGTGGCGGTACCGCGCAGCCCCGCTCCCGCTCCCACCCGTGCGCCCACGCCTGGCGCCGCTCCCGCTCTCAGCAGCCCCGCCGCGCCCGGCCCCCCGTTACCGGCCGCCGCACGCCCCAGGGAGGCCGCCATGTCGCCGCCCCGCCGCTCGCAGCCCGCCCGGCCGCAGGCAGGCGGGGCCGGGCCGCCCTCCGCCGTCACCGCCACCGCCCCCCGCCCGCTGGAGCCGAGCGGAGCCGTCGGGCGCGGTGAGGGCGCGGAGCTGCGCGCCCATTCGGGCGTCACGGTGCGCGCCCGGCACGGCGGCGTGGTGCCGCGGCCCCAGGGGCTGCGCGGGCGCCTGTCCGAGGTGCGAGAGGCCGCGCCCGGCGCTGTGGAGTGAAATACTGGTGTGGCAGAGCCTCAGGGTGACGAGCAGCCCGGATCGGTGCTCGAGGCACGAGGCTTTGCAAGGGGCTGTGACACGTCCTGGGCACGCGAACTGTGCCGTACCAGTAATAAATGTCCCCGTAATTAACAGTGCACGTCAACACCGGCGCTCGGACACCGCCCGGCCCCGCACGGGGACTTCTGAGAGCTCGGTGCCAGCGGGAGGACGCGGGCAGCACCGGGTCTGTGCGGGGCAGCCGGGGGCGGGCCGCCTCCCACCGCTGCGCCTGGCGAGGCCGCGCGGGCGGAACGTTGGTGTGCGGAACGCCGGTGCCGGCCGCTGGAGCCGCCCGGAGCTTTTGGCGCATGCTCGGGGGCGGTGCCGGGCAGCTGCACGTGAGGGCGATGGCGGCCGTGGCCGGGCTGGAGAGGTGTCTCCGCGTGGCGGGCGCCGCCGCGGCGCGGCCCGAACGCTTCCTCAGGTACCGCGCGGTGCGTGGGCGCGGGGCTCGGCGCTCGCTGCGGGGCTCCGTGGCGGCCCGACGGGATTTCTGGTGCCGCAGAGCCGCGTTCTGCCGTGCCGGTGCGACGTCCCGGACCTTTCCGCAGCAGTCGGGATGTCTGTTTCTTCCTTCTGTGTTTTGGTGCTGGGAGAAAATGGAATGGCTGCCCGAGGATAAATACTGAGGAATGAGGCAGCAGGGAGATGATTGTTGTTTTGAGGCTGAGGATCTTGGGTGTGTGGTGCTGTACTGCCTCGAAACTTCTGGGTTGCTTACATGTGGTCGGAATACAGTAAAGCGCAGGTACGGAAGGGGAGCAAAGAGACTTAACTGCAACGTCTGTATTGCTGGGAATGCTCGATATGGTTAACCCAGTAGAAGCCTTAGATGAATGAAAGCAAGTGAGTTCTGCAAAGTAGAAGTGTGTGAGGAGGAACAAAAATACAACGCCTGCTGTGCTTTTTAAAGTTCTTTTTTTTTTTTTCTTTTTCTTACTCCCAGTGTGCAGGATGAGCTGGCTGCTGACTTCAGAACGTTAACAAAGACTCTTTATGATTTAAATAAAGCTCTTGGAAGCAGTGTAGTTCGTGGAAGTCCTCTCAAAGAGCTGGTGATAGAGAACTTTGATGAAGAACAGATCTGGCAGCAACTAGAGCTCCAAAATAATGCGGTTCTTGATGTCTTCAAGAAATCTGTTGCACAGTGTACCAATGATAAAGACCTTTGCCTCATCTCTGACCAGGAAGATGACGGCTCTGATGCAGAAGCCAGCAGTGACAGTGAAGTGGAAGACATGATAGAAGCAGAAACTGAACAGGAGAGTGCCTATACAGAACATAAAACTGAAGCTAAAGAAAAGAAAAGTAAACCCAGAGAAAGCGTAATAGAGAAATACAGTGATGATGATTCTGATGTTGACTTTGATATTGAAGCACTAGAGCAAGAAACTAAAACAGCCAAGAAAACAGCGGTGAAAAAAACAGGAAGAAAGTCTATAGTGGATGACAAATTCTTCAAGCTGGCTGAGATGGAAGCTTTTCTAGAACATGTGGAGAAGGAAAATGGGGAGAGGGAGGAGGAGGATGAAGATGATATCGACTATTTTGAAGACATTATCTCAGATGATGAGGAAGAGGAGTTTGAAGAAACTAAAGTCAGAGTAAGAATATCAGTAACGTAATTCTCTGAATTCTTTTTCTGTAAATCAGGATCTGGTATCTGGTAGGGTGACTATAAATTGTTGAGCTCGAAGTAGAAATTGCTGAGTTAGATTTGATTAAATGACTAATGATTTTTTTTCTGAGGCTTTACATTAATAATATACTTGACATCAATCTCTGTAACAAAATAAGCTGATGTAGAAAAACATACCATCTTCCTATTCCAGTTTCTCTTTAGATGTGTCTTGTGTTTCAGTGTGAATTAAGGGCTAGGAAGTCTTGTGGTAAGAAATTTGTGACCTTGCCTAACTGCAGAATACCTGACCAGCAAACAAGGAAGCGTTGCTCGTGCTGACCTCTGGTGATGAAAGATCTCTAGGGTGACTGGTGCAAAGCCAGAGCAAAAGGAGCTTGGCAACTTCTTTTTTCAGGGACTTGGCTCTGTAACTCACATTTCACTGAACTGTTGTGTACTTGTTTTGAAAATAAGTCTTATTAGCATTTCCTGAGATTCTTGCTACAAAGAATGCCCAAGATATAAGGGAGTATGTACAAATACCTGTGAATAATCAGCAAAATCTATTTGTCTCTGACTTTTGTATATGTTGAAATAAGAAACTGTCAGAATGTCTTGGCTATTTCTGTAAGAGGCTGTACTGAGATTTGAGTAAACTGCATTAGTTACAGGAGTAGTGCTGTTCCCCAGCTGTTAAAGGCAGGATACCCTTAGTCTTCTGTCATCCTAACAGGTTTTTCTATCTCATGTTTTTAGCCAGTTAAAAGTTCTAGAGATCTAACGTACAAAGATTTCTTTGATCCTGTTGATGACAATGATGACTTAGCAGCTAATGATGCTGAAGACTATGAGAATGAAGAAGCAGATAGTGCTATTGAAAAGGAGAGTGAAGAAAGCATGTCTGAGTAAGTATATGCATTATTTGAAGTTAAAGTGTTCTTGCAGTTTTACACTAAATGTGCCACTCTGTTGAAGTAGAAAATGAAGTGTGAATTCTAGGTTCTCTTTAGTCACGGTTTGCCATTTTGTTTTCTGTTATATCATTGTGGATTGTATTGTCATCTTAGTCAGAAAGTATTTTACTCCTCTCCTGAGTGTTTCTTGGTATTTATTTCACTAAATTAGGTTATTATTTAGCTATTAAAAGTTGTTTTTAATGTATAGAAGTTTACCTAGTGTCTCTGCCTTCACTGAAAGTCTATTGTAGTTCTAAAGTGTGAGTTAGTTGTGCCAGGTAAACCATAGTGAATGAAATATCTTCATGTAAAAATGGTGGCTTTTAAACTTCTACTTTAGCATGCATTATATTTGGATTTTACAGGGCTGAGGATATTAATGAAGCGGTCATGGAAAATATGAGAAATAAAAAAGTTTCTTTTAGTTTGCCGGATGACAGTGAAACAGAAGATGCTACTGATATGCAATTAGAGAGGGGTATTGATCTCAGTGAGGTTAAGTCATCTTTTGAGAAGAGACAGGAAAAGGTAATTATTTTATTTTTCTAATACTTTGAAAATGTGGCCATTGTTTTTTAATGATTGCTAGACTCTGAAGAAGTTAGAGAAACATGAAGAGGCTGCTTGCAACTTAAAGTGCTTTATGTATATCTGATGCATGTATAGAGTGATATGTTCTCACATTTTTATGTGAGTAGGTATTGGAAGTACCTGAAATGGCTATTTCTTTCTTCGAATTTACTTGTGAACTGTTTTTAACTTCTTAGAAAATTTGTTTTTCAGATGAGTGAAAAAATAAAAAGTTTAGAAGAAGAGTTGTTGGAGGAGAAACCTTGGCAGCTTAGAGGGGAAGTAACTGGACATAAGAGACCTGAAAACAGCCTTTTGGAGGAAACAGTACTCTTTGATCATGCAGTCCGAATGGGTAAGTGCTGAAGGGTGGCTTTCTTGAAAGCATGTTGCCCTGTCGTGTTGGATTGTCTTCTCTCTAAGCGTGCTGATAGCAGCCTTGACTCAAGAGTAAGGTAACAAGAATGCCAGTTAAACATCTCAGCATGTTTCTGAGCCTGTGCACTTTCATTCTGGAAAACACGGGAAACAACAGTCTTATTGGTTCAATTTTAACTTGCTTGAATGTTCCTTAATACCATGGCAGACTTAATTGCTTACAAGTCTCACATAATATGATTCTCCTTCCCATTCACATCTCTCTGCAGTAGAAGAGAACAGTGTTATTTACTTAATTTCACTGATCAACAGAAATCTCACACTACTACGTTTTTATTGAGGACTTGCTTTTTTTATTCCTCATAACAGAAAGTATGCCTTGCTGCAGAAACATTAATGTTTTCTTTTTCTCAGCTCCTGTGATCACAGAAGAAACTACTTTTCAACTTGAAGATATCATCAAGCAGAGAATATTGGATGAGGTTAATATCTTGCTTGCTCTTCTCTCTTTGTAAACTGGTGTCACCAGAGTGTTTAAGCTCTTAAAAGGTTCGGTAGGGAGTTTTCTTGATTGATTTCTGCAAACTGGGTGTTTGTTTTTCTGAACTGCCTTTAAAATATATAAGGACTTAATTTAGAATATAAAACCAGTCTCAAAACTTTTGACTGTGACCCTAATTGTGTAGTTCCTTGTGCATTCTAGATACTAACTAAAGCTCAGTTGTGTACTTTGTAATTTTATTTAAAAGATACTGATAGAGGATTTGTATCCCCCAAGTTGTTGAGGTTTACTGTAAGTTAAATAAAAGTATATATTGGAAGGATATTTAAGGTAATTACATGTTTGTTATTGATTATACTATTTTTTGCCCTGATCCACTGAAAATAAGCATGCAAACTTGAGCTATATGTCTCCTATTACATTTACAAGTGAGAGCGTGAACTTCCAGAGGTTTTGGGGGAGACGTGTGTGAACTAGTTAATATACCAGATAAGTTCATGTTCTAAATAAGCTGTTGCACATATCGGTCTGTACTTGCCGTTGGTCATTAATTTATCACCTTCTCAGGCATGGGATGATGTAGTTCCAAAAGAAAAACCAAAAGAGGATGCCTTTGAATACAAGAAACGTATTACTTTGGATCATGAAAAGAGTAAACTGAGTCTGGCTGAGATCTACGAGCAAGAA